TATATTATGTAAACAAAAACTTTTAATTTGGATGCGATTAATCACAATTAATCGTTTGACAGCACTAACAATAAATCAACACCATATTTGGTTAACAGATATTTTTTTATTTATCAATAGATATTGTATATACACTACTGGTAAAAATGTATGGGGCCAGTCATATTTTCTAAAATAAATAAATATTATTATTTAGCAAGGATGCATCAAATTGATCAAAAGTGAAAGTTAAGAGATTCATAATGTAACAAAGGATAGAAATAAAAAACACTAATAAAAAAAGCAGCACAAATGTTTTTAAGATAGAAATGAATAATAAGAAATGTGTCTTGAGTACCAAATTGGCATATTAGAATGATTTCTGAAGGATCATGTGACAATAAAGCTGAATATTCAGCTTTGTCATCATATGAATAAATTACATTTTAAAATATATTAAAATAGAAAACAGTTATCTTGAAAGTTAATAATTTTTCACAATATTACAATTGTTGCTGTAAGTCTAATCAAATAAATGCAGCCTTGCTGAGCATAAAAGACTTTAAAATAAATAAATAAATAAAAACACTAACAATTTAATAGCACTGTTAAATACAAATATATGAATAATTATAATATTATTAGGGCAAAATTTACTTGCAGCTTTTAAAATGATTGATTTTTTTAGTTTTTAATATTGGCTTTATTTAAAAAAATATATCACACCAAATAATTTAGATTTTCGGCTTATCAGCTGTTTATTGGTTTGTTGGCTAATTATCATTATCAACCATAATTTTGATATTGGTGCATCCCTAAAACGAATCTAAGGCAAGCATCACTAAAACTTTAGCTCATACTTACAGTTATGAATTTAAATGAACCCCAAGTACTAAATATTAAACATCTATTGAACTAATTAAGCATGGCAAGTCTCACCTCCATGCGTTGATAAAAGAAGTGCTGTCCTCCACAGACTGTCCTCCCTCTTTGTGGTAGTCATTCATTGGCTTTCTATCAAAAGTTCCACACAGGCCTTCAGTGTGGCCTTGATCAGAGCCTGGGGCCCTTACAGTCAGACTCATTCCCCAGTCAGCCACATCCACACGCACAAATGCCCCCGACAAGAATGTAATCTGAACAAAAAACAAAAAAGTTTACATTCATTATTTATACTTACTAATGCCACTCTACTATCTTGAACATGTTCTAGTTATCATATACACCCAATATCACTCACAGTGACTTTGCGGCCTTGGTAGGACTCATTGACACGGATTCCACTCTTTAGCAGGTCTCCGTTCTTCACAGAGAGGCGTGGCTTTGTCTCTCCCGCCAGTCCATTACACATGTCATAAGTGACAACATAACCACCATCCCTGGCCGCAAAGCCACAGACACACGAGGTGGGATGGGCGGTCATGCCGGCACATTCCCACTGTCTCACATGCACCTCAAACGGCCGAGCAGTGCTCCTGTACAGCACAAAGGTGCCTATCTGGTAATTATCATACCTCCTGTGAACAAACAAACAATATTATATGTAATTCTCACTGCATTTGCATTGAAAAGTGTTCACTGGTAATTCCACAGCAAAACATGGGCTTAATATATCAACTTTTATTATTTGACTACTTTTGATTGTAGAGCCATTACCTGCCATCAAATGTGATGATGTGGGGGTCCGTAAAAGTGTAACAGTGAGCAGATGGAACGTCCTTTACTAGAATCTGAGAGGAAGAACAGAAGAACATTTTCAATATATATACTGTATATACACCGCGTGCATGATTATTAGGCACGTTGATATTCTGATGAATTTTGAATATTTCTCATGGGGATTTAATAATTTTTGACTTTTCAG